ATTTTGCGTACCACTTTAGGAGTTCAGAAAGTGGGAGACTATGAAGTTTATGGCTAGCATCACTAAAAAATTTAATTCAGACCTTCTTTTACTTCTTAATAGATGTCCTTTAACAAATAGAAACATTAATAATTGTTCCTTAGGAGTGCATGGCACTTCATATCTACTTAGACCAAACCTTCACATCTGTTATCAATCATTTCACTGACTAAAACTGTTTTTCGAAGGTGAAATTTTTCATAGGTATTTATTGCAGCTTCATTTGTCAGCAACAGCAGTATTTTAATTCTGATTACTATCAGCATAGAAAAAGAATATCCTAAAGATATTCTAGGAGGAGATAGGTTAATTGGATTTAGAGAGGTTGCAAACTGAGTGCATAGCTGTGCTTTTCCCACCTTCTTTGACTTATTATCCCTGATGAGCCTGGAAAAAGTTAAGAAATGGTTAATTCATGCTTGCTCACTTCAGTGCCCCCTGGCCACTTTTTGATTTAGCATGATTTGACTCCTGTGGCATTCCTCATAGCATCTTGTCCAAAGTTGTCCTTATTTTTCCTTTAGCTATTAACTCTTTCCCCTCATATCTTGGTCTCAGCATTTTATCACACATATCTCTTATTTAGCAAGTAAGAATGATGTCATTTAACACGGGTCCTTTTGTCCTAAGTCAGTTTCTTTTTAAAGTGAGGATAAATAAATATTAAACATTTTCTTTCCCAATTTATCATACAGGTTGGTTAGGCTGTTATAAAGTATTTGTGTGAATAATTACAGTATGGTATGGATTTTTATTCTAAGAATTGAACTTCCACTAGAGAAAAGAACACATCTACCATTCCACATGATATTTCTAGACTCTGCTTAAAATCTTAATTCAAAAGCCAATTAGGAGAATGTGCTATTAGGTCTGTGCCTGAAAGTTACAATCTTAAAATTCCAAGTTTTTACAATCATATTTAACCCTGTTAACAATGACAGCTGAATTATATACTCCATCAGCATCTCCCCCCACCTTTTCTTACCTTAAACCTTTCAGGAAAAAATTGTTTAGTGGGAATTTGCAAAGATAGTGGCTAGAAAAGATGTTAAAAATTTCACTGCACCATAGCAGTGAAGTAATATCTTCAAAGTTTTTAAAGCAAACTCCTTCAAAAATGTTATATCTTGCTAAGCTTTCATTAAAGATTGTGGGTAAATATAAAGACTTAATAAGTTACTTAACTTTCTCATCTATATACCCTCTAGATTATCTGTACTGTTCACATATACTAAGGGGTATCAAACTGAAAAATTTAGTTATCTTTTCATGTTTCCATTAAACTGTTTCCATATACTTTCTGAAGTCCTCTTGTGTATCTAACATATCTAGAATAGTGTATGACACAAGGTAATATCCAGTAAATATTCATTAAATAAAGGAGTATGAGGATAGGATTAAATAAACAAAAAACTTACAGTAGTACTGTATCAATGTTTGTTGTTTTTAATTTTTTACCATCCAGAGACATAGAGCAAGCTATTAAAAGATTCTTCAGCAAGAAGAAAAATTTAATAGTATGTCAGGTAGAAGAAACAGTTATGACGTAGACTTTGATAAACTGCCAATAACATAGCTAATGACTGAAAAAAAGGAAAGACAAATAATTGTGTGGTTTTTTTTTTTTAATCTTTAAGTTGATCCTAGAATTTATATGAAAGTACAGAGGACCCAAATGACTAAGACAATTTTAAAGAAGAAGGAAGAGGTACTTGTCCTACTAGATGTTTAAAACTTACTATAAAATGTTAGAATCAAGACCAAAGTATTGATGCAGGAAATGGTAAACAGCCAGTGAAATGAATTGACCCCAAAATAGATTCATACATACATGAAAACTTGATACACGGCAAAAAGCATAACAAATCAGAGAATAAGGTGCAGTTTTAAATACATTTAGCTGGTCAAGTGGTTATTTCTATGGGTGAAATTAATTTTATATCTGCCATATATAAAAATCAATTCCAATTGGGTTAAAATCCTAAGAAAAAACTTTTAAAATGCCATTTAAAAAACAAAACAAAAACCTAGGAGAACGTTATCATTTGGGTAACGAAAGACTTTTAAGAAAAGACAGCATACAAACATGAAGGAAAAAATGATTAATGTAACTGTATTAAAACTTATAGAGTTCACATCTTGGAAGACCATGTAAGCAAAATGAAAGACAGATCTCAGATTGAATGAAGATTTGTGTAATAAGTACAACTAACAAAAATTGATATCCAGCATAAAGAATTTCTACAAATCAAGAAGGAAGAGACAGATAACCCAATGGGAAAATCAGCAAAGGATATGATCAAGCAGTTCAGTGCAAGAACTATGATTGGCCAATCAACATACGAAAAAAATCTTCTATCTTACTAGTAATCATGCTAATGCAAATTATATCATTTTTTATCCATCAGATAGGCAGATGTTAAAAAGGCTGAATAAACTATGCATCGGCAAAGATGTGGAGACCCAAACATTCTTACACTGCTGGTGGGAGAATAAATTGATACAACTATTCAGGAGAGCTGTTTTGCAAATCTAATAAAGTTGAAGATGGGCATATGCAAACACCTGGAATTTTTCCCTCTGGTGAATGTACTAAGGAAATACTTCTATAAAATACTTAGGGAAGAATGCTTAAGAATGTCTATTCCAACACTGTAATAGTGGCAACTGTAAGCAACCTAAACACCCACCAAATGATAATGCATATCATGATTATTTACACAGTGGAATATTATACAGAAAAATCAACAAACTAGAGTTACATGTATCCGCATGGATAAATCTCTTGCAAACACTCAAGCAAAAGATGCAGAAGTAAATGCACATTATAATATGATTTATAAAAAGACCATGCAAAACAATGTTACACAATATTGATGAATGTTCTAAAACATTTCAAAGAGGTTGTGCAGCAGATTTTCCTAATGCAATACGTCATTTTGATTTCTTGACTGATGCTTCCATGATTGTTGATGGTGGATAGAGGAATAGACAAAGAATGCAAGATCTTACGATTTGATGAAGCTGAGGGTGGGTACTTGGGTATTGATTATTTTGGACTCTATAGTTGTATAAGGAGCTCTGGTAGCATAGTGGTTATGAATCAGGCTGCTATTCTCACCGTCAGCAGTTTGAAACTACCAGCTGTTCCGCAGGAGAAAGATGAGGCTTTATGCTCCCATAAAGATGCACAGCCTTGGAAACCCTGTACAGGGTGGCTGTGAGTTGGAATCGACTCCATGATACATAATAACAACAACATAGTTGTGTATTTGAGATCAGGGCTTCCTATATTTGAGTTGGTGGTTGTTGTTAAGTGTCATCAAGTCGATTCCGACTCATAGCGACCCTGTACAGGGTTTCCAAGGAGCAGCTGGTGAGCTTGAACCACTGACTTTGCATGTTGTTGTGAAGTGCTGTTGAGTCAGTTCTGACCCATAACAACCCTGTGTGGGGTCTCTGAGGAGCAGCTGGTGAACTTAAACTGTTGACCTTGCAGTTCAAACAGCTTTGCAGTTCTGGCAGATTAACCCACAGCGCCACACCAGGACTCCACATAGTAAATTATTCAAAAATTAACGAATGTCATGACATGTACTCATACATATATTTTTTTATTTAAAATTTCTTTTCTAGGATCATCTCTGAAAATATATTCTGGTTCTAAAACATTGGAAAATCTTATAAAACAACCTGAAACTAACTTAATGTCATTTACTCATACACTACGAAATTAACTTATTTTCATATAACCCTTCTAATATTAGCATTCTGAGAACTATGGGATTGTCTCACGAATGTTGTGTTGAAGCTTAAGCCTAGAATCAATATATAATTTTTTTTGCTTCGGTTTTAAAGAAATGCTCAATAGTGAAACAAAACTTAAAGTCTAGTATCCCTTTTAGATCTGCTAAAACTATTGTTATTTTATTTTTCTTTTAAAGTAAGCTTATTTACATTTTATCAGCATATCTTCTCAGTGGGAGTCTTGTCTGGTTATGTTTTATATTGTAATTGTCACATTCTTAACCTCCCCTCCAAATGATATGTTTCATTTGGTAAACACTTAGAGCAGGTTGTATAATATCTTAATTTGCTAGATATGAAGCAGTTCAGATAAAACTTTGGTACATTGTTTGAATGTTTTTATTTCATTAATGAAAGAAAAATCTAATGTTTTCCCTTCATTGCTTTTCTAATTTTTCATGATGGACATATCATCAAATGAAACCTTGACTTCTTAAAGATATTTTAGGAGTTAGGATTATTGGCAATCTATCATTATCAGTGAGTTCTTTAGTGGTGAGACCATTTTCAGTGCACAGGATAGATGGGCTTAAATGGCAGGAACATGACTAGAAAGTACACGTTATATATGCTTCCGTCAGCATGTGACTGGTGACAGGTGCTCAATGGTTGTTGGTACCCTTGTCAGCAAAGAGAATCATTTGACATTAAAGTCACCAGCTCTGTCCTGATTTGGGGTGACTCTATTGGCAGTTCCATCAGGCTGCAGCTGATCAGTGCATGTCAGAGCTGCTGCTGTTCTTCAAGAGTGTCACCAGCCCTCTGCGCCTATTTTTGAATTTAATATGTGTTATTTTGAAGGGAGGGGTTGGATTAGCTTGGCCTGTTGTTCAGTCTAAACCAGAGTTTCATATTGCTTACCTTTGGGAAATGAACTGGGAGGTCATAAGGAATATAGGTGTCTTCAGGGCATGCAAAATCATATACAAAGTGATCACTTACAAGAGACTAGTAATGATTACCTTGACTCCAAGCCAATCAATGGTTGGAGCACCTGGGGACTCATTAAATGGCATTTGTAGTATCTGCAACCTAAGTTTGGAGCTGTATTTCAGGAAAAGCAGTGACAGCCTTTAATGTCTAATTGACCTCTTCTCTTTGTTTTATTTTCTTTCACTTTCCATATTTGCCTCTGATGTGCTCCCTGATGGCAGCAAACAGCGCTGCTCAGCATTTTGAACTTCTGCGCAGCGCTTCAGCACCTCAGTTTGGGTAGCTGTGTAATGGTGAGTATTTGACAATTCCCTATGCTCATTCTCTTTCCCCTGTGTGAATTTTATGTTCCCTTCATTAACCCACCCTGTCCCACCTAAACTTAAATCACAGCTCTCCTGGTGTGACACTGGACTGCAAGGTCAATTTGAACCTCAAGGTCGGCAGTTCAAACGCACCAGCCGCTTCTTGTAAACCCTATATAGGGTTGCTATAGGTTGGAACTGACTCAACGGCACTTAACAACAGCAATTTGTACTCTACTTTCAGACATTATTGTTATATTGGGCAGTATATCTTTGAAACATTGATGTTGTCTATATTAAAGAACTAAGGAGCTCTGGTAAAGTTGTTGTTGTTGTTGTTAAGTGCCATCGAGTCGGGTCCGACCCATAGCGACCCTGTACAGGGTTTCCAAGGGT